CCAGGTGCCTCTGATCTTCTACCAATTGAGCTAGCTCTATAGCCTCTCCCAAGTCACGAGGTCTCATTACTCTAACTGCTGCTCAAATCTCTGGTGTCAATCCCTTCATGAAGTTTCCCTCTAGCACAGTCTCAGAAAGGTGGTCCAATCGGCTAGCAAAGTACTCGAATCTCTCTCGATACTCCGTCACTGAACCCTCCTGTGTCAAAGCAAAGAACTGCTCGTAGAAGTCTCCTCCCCTGCCAGTTTGGAAACGTTTTACCAAACAATTCTTGAACTCTCTCAAACTCCATATAGGTCGTCGCATGTCCCTCCACTGATACCAAGACAAAGCCTTCCCATCTAAACATAGGCCTGCCACCGTCTTGTAGATCTCAAGTATTTCCTATCAATCTTCGAAAAACAACAAGAATTATCCACAAAAAGCCGCACAAAATAAAAAAAATAGTATATAATTTGTATTATTTGATGAAATAGAAACGGAAAATATCATGATACAATTGATCCTCTATTCAAGAGGAGAATTGATCTCTCCCAAATCTCTAGACGCCGCTAGAGCCAAAAAAGAAAACCTAAATCTATGAGATCTCAAATTCAAGATGCCCTAACCCTCAGAAAACAAAGTATTTAATGCATACAAATCAAAAGGAAATCCTTAAACAGTCCCTACATTCAAATTCCCTCCTAAACTTTCTCAAAAATCCTTCCTAAATCAGCTAGTTGGCACTTGCGGTGCGATCGGCTACCAAAAGAGGCGGACATCTCCGCCTCGGTTCCGCCTGGGCCGATCCCGCGGGGATCGATCTAACAGAAAACCATTGGTTTCCTATCACCATTGTCAGTTGTCGTCCATCACTAGCGACCACTACAAACGGCCAAAAATGCCATAATCCAACAGCATTGTCCATTAACAGAAGCGGCGGCTAACATTACCACTCACCACCAGCCTCTAACCATAGCATGTTGCTACAGGGCCAATTTGGGTTAATTCAAACAACTTTTTAAATAAAAATTACATTTATTAATGGGAGAGCCTCCAAACTTGTTCACAAAGCAAGGCCTTCCCAAACCAATCATAGGCTTTTAAAGGGCTTATTTAATGAGCTTTCAATAGACTTAGTGATGTGCAACATAATAGAAATTGCAGGAATTTAATAAAAAATTATTAAACTTGCTAATTTTAAAATTAATGTTTCACCAGATTAGATTCTAAGATCTCTTAGTTGTGATTGTGCTTTGGCATGTGGTTACAAGAAAGATTAATAGTACAATTTAAAATAACAACAAACTTATAGTAAAGCTAAACAAAACAACAGAAATCTACCGTTTAGCAAATAAAAATTTAACTTTGAGTTCCCCTCACTTTCACTCTTGAGGTGGTTTTAACAGAAGAAAAATTTTAGCAAACTTAAAGATGTCACCAAAAGACAATAAACGCCTGCAGTATTGTCCAACGAAAAGTTAGTCGGAGGGGAAGAAGCTGGTGGGTGTCCACTCGCCACTGTCCAAAGATTTGGTGCTCGTCGATGGCCGACGTCAAAGTGAAAAGGATATGGTCGCCGTAGTCGTCAATCTCCAAGTTGAGGTCGAAGAAGGATGATCAAAGAATATCTACTCGTCCTTTAAGATCATACACGAATTCATGATCATGCTCGGGATTGGCCATTCATTGGGGAAGTAAGCTAAGTGGTAGTGTATATTCTTAATTTCAATTCAATTTCAGATTTGAGGAGATTGAGGAAATTCCTAAAATAAGCTTGTTTTAATTTGGAAAGTAGTTGAAATTCAAATTCCTTTGAATTTGAATTAAAGGATCCTCCAAATTAGAATACTCTAAATTAGGAAAGCATTAATATGGAGATTGGAAAATAGAATTAAGGGGATTGGGGTTAGCATAGCCGGCAATTAGGGTTGGCTAGGGAGAGGCCGACGACTAGGGACGGCTTGGTTTGGGTGATTTGGGTGGAGGAGCGGACGGTGGGGGAATTGGGGAAGGGTTTAGCCGGTGGATTTGGCTGGCAATTTGGGTGAAGATGGGGGGGAGGGACAGTCAGTTTGGAGGAAAAGGGGAGGAGGTCAGTCGTGGGGAAAGGGATGGGGAGGTAGACCGTGAGCCCGAACTCTTCCGACGGCTGACGGGTATTGCCTTTGCCCTCACCTAGGAACTTCTCCTTTATCTAGAGCTCTCAATACTCAAGAAACTAGAAGGCTGAAAATTTTTATTAATCAATCATCCTCTCATACAATAGAGGGGCCATCATATATAGGTCTCACATAAAAGAAAAACACAGAAACTCAAATGCCCCCGGGCCTACAATATGAACTAATCACTCTTTGGATACAATAGTAAACTAGAACATAAATAAAAATAAAATACATAAATCCATCATAAATAGAGACTCTGAATCATAACCGTCGATCTACGATTCCTCCAATGATAGACGCACCGAAATCTTCTGTTAATGTCCTCATCATTCTCCCCAGGTGAGAGAAAGCTCAACCTCATCAAGTAAGTGTCTCAAGAACCTCTCATATAACTCTAGAAGATCGAGGTCCAACCTCTGTAGCTCATCAAGATCAATTCACGTGTTCTTCGTCTCTGATTTTCCATTCCATTGAACTAAATACCTTTGGCGCCCATCGTCTTTGGTAGAGATGATTTTATCATTAAGTATTTCTTCAATTTTCTCCGCATTAAGTAAAGTAGGGATATTTGGGAGTGGAGGTAGGCTAAGGTTCTCACCATGTAAGGTTTTACAACTCCAACATACCTGGTGAGAACCCTAGCCTACCTCCACTCCCAAATATCTCTATTTTATCTAATGCGGAGAAAATTGAAGCAATACTTAATGATGAAATCATGTCCACCAAAGACGGTGGGCGTCAAATGTATTTAGTTCAATGGAAAGGAAAACCAGAAACGGAGAACACGTGAATTAATCGTGATGAGCTACAGAGGTTGGACCCCGATCTTCTAGAGTTGTACGAGAGTTACCGAGACACTCAATGAGGTCGAGCTTTCTCCCACCCGGGGAGAATAATGAAGACATCAGCAGAAGATTTTGGAGCGTCTATTATCAGAAGAATCGTAAATCGACAGCTACTATTCGGAGTCTCTATTTATGATCCATTTATGTATTTTATTTTTATATGTTCTGTTTTACCATTGTTCCCCCAAGAGGGATTAATTTATGTTGTAGCCCCGATGACATTTGAGTCTGTGTTTTTCTTTTATTTGAGGCATTTATATGATGGCCCCCTTTATTGTATGAGATGATAATTTGATGAATAAAATTTCAATTTTTGTTTTTATTTCTTTGTGAGATATTGAGAGAAAAGAGAACCCTAAGAGAGGGCCAAAGCAATACCCGGCAGCCGTCGGAAAAGTCCAAGCTCTCGGTTTCCCCTTCCCCTTTCTTCTTTCCCACCCTTTTCTCCTCACCAAACCGCCGACCTCCTCTCCTACAACCCCACACCACCGGGCACCCATACACCCCCCCTAAATTATGACCACAACTCTCCCCTCCACCATACCTGTCAGCCTCCTCCCTCTCCACCTCAAGTCGTTGAACCCTTCCCATCCCCACCTAACCTAAGTCTGGACTGCTCCCTTGGCTGCCGGCCTACCTAGGCTAAGCCCAAGCTGTCGGCCCCTCCTCCTCCATAAACCCTTGTTTTCAAATTCAAGTTGCCTCTTAAACACCTTCCTAATTTGTCCAATTATTAATTAGGAAAATCTCTTAATTTTGAATTCAAATAAATTTTGAAATTCAAAATATTTCCTAATTATCTCTTTATTAATATTCTCAATCAACACCCTCTCTTCATGGTTGATCGCCCCACTTAGTCACCCGTAAAGGAAATTTGAATTTCAAATTATTCCCTCATTTTTCAATTATAAAATTTGAAATTAAATTCAGATTTTAATTATTGACCCTCATCCACCTAAACCTAAGATGAAAATTTAAGAGATCTCCCCTCCTAGTCTTGGACGACCACTCCAGCCTTCCCCCTCCTCCTTGCCTTCTCTCCTCCATCATTTCATACAATCCCAAGGAAGAAGCTACACAGCCAGCCTCCTTCCCATGAATGGTCGATGCTGAAAGAAACCACAGATTCACATACGATCATCAAAGACGAATAGACGTGTTGAGATCATCCTTCTTCGACCTCAACTTGGAGATCGACGACACCGTCGACGACTAAGTCGACCGGATCCTTTTCACTTTGATGTCTTCCATCGAAGAGCACCAAATCTCCGGACAGTGGCGAGTTATTGGACATCCACCAACTTCTTCCCCTCCTACAAACTTTTCGTTGGGCAATACTGCAGGCATTTGTTATCTCTTGGTGACATCTTTAAGTTTACTATAATTATTCTTCCATTAAAACCACCTCAAGAGTGAAAATGAGGGGAACTCAAGGTGAAATTTTTATTAGTTAAACGGTGGATTATGTTGTTTATGCCTTTAGCTTTACTATAAGTTTATTGTTATTTTAAATTGTCATGTTAATCTTTCTTGTAACCGCATGCCAAAGAACAACCATAACCAAGAAATCCTAGAATCTAACTGGCGAAATATTAATTTTAAAATTAGCAAGCTTAACAATTTTTTATTAAATTACTGTAATTCCTATTATGTTTCACATCATCTTGGTATCAGAGCATGGTTGTGTCTTAGTTGCAATTCCATTTAATAGTTTGGGATGTTACAAACACGCAAAAAGGTCTCATGCATAATGAAAAAAATGAAACAAAAATTAATCAACAGCCATCTTGAAAATAGTTTTATTTCAAGCTTTCATTGACAAGAATATGGTCCAATCAGATCACAAGTTAAAAGCTTTATAATAAATACAATAACAAAGTAAAACTATTTAATCGTTCATGTATGAGTAAGGCTGAGGCTAATAACTCATAGGGAAACTAAAGCATAAACCAATAAGACGCCTCGAGCAATATTAGAATAAAATAAAAATCACTATGTCAAAGAACTCACCCTAACAGTTGCTTGAAGGACCCAGTGCCTTGACCAAATTCTGGGCTGAAGAAAACACAAAATAAATATAGTAAATTTTGACGAACATAAAGGATTATAGATATGAAATAAATACAATACAATACAAATAAAGTAGAGCACGAGCAAGTAAACTTCAAAGGCTTGCAATATCTGGTTGCAAAATAAAAATAAAAATAAAAGTTTAGCAAAAGCCTAAAGCAAAAGTTCTGCATAAGACTATAACTAATTAATACTCTGAAATTTTTGTAGATACTCACCAAGGCCACAGGTGAAGAAAGATAGAGTCAGAAATTGAGGATGGAACTAAGAAGCCAGGAGGAAAGCAAGAAAATGGAGATAGAACAGTCCTATTATATTCAACTCCAGATATCCAACCACAGAAACTACCACCTCCGTCCCTAGAGCATCAGAATAAGCATGCTCATGACAACTTTGCTTTATTTGGAGCAGGCTACATTGATAAACACCATACAAATATCTATATTCTTTATTCGGGAGGTGGTGCACTTACATGGCATTCCAAAATATATAGTATCAGACAAAGACAAGATATTCCTCAGCCATTTTTGGAAGGAGTTATTCAAGATCTAAGGGATTGTCCTGAAAAGGAGCACGGCATATCAGCGTGGAAACATACTTGCATTGTTTTGTGTCTGATGTACCAAAAGGTCCAAAACTACGAGCTAAACGGTTAGTGTGGGAAGAGTATTGGTATAACACATCTTTCCACATAGCAGCGCGAACAACCCCTTCCAAGATTCTATATAGGAGGGATTCACCTCATCAAGTACATTACGAACAGAGTACTACACAAGTATCCAGTGTAGATCGGTACTTGGAGGAGAGAGACAATATACTAGCAGAACTCAAAGGGGCATTTGCTGAGAGCTCAATAAATTATGAAGAGAAAAGCAGATGAACACAGATGAGCAGTGCAGTTCGCACCCGGGGACAGATTTTATTTGAACTTAGACCATACCAATAGAGGACACTAGCCAAGAGGAAGAATGAGAAGCTATCACCATGCTACTTCGAACCTTATGAAGTGATGAAGCGCATTGGGGTAGTAGTCTATCGTCTGATGCTATCAGCATCATCAACAATCCACCAATATTCCAAGTATCACAACTGAGGCATACTATCAGAGATCACACACCTTTCTCACTACCGACGACATTGACGGAGGACATGGAAGTGATCCTGGAACCCACAGAGATTGTTGGGGCACTGCAAGGGATGACATGAGGGAAGGAGGTCCTAGTCCGATGAAAGGACCTACCAAAGTATGAAGCTAAATGGGAGTCATATGAGAAGATCAGGAGACAGTTTTTATCATTCTACCTTGAGGACAAGGTGCATTTAAAAAAGGAGAGTATTGATACGGCAACATGCAGGGGGTGGACTGACCGGTCCAACAGGAAGCGAATCATAAAGGGGCAAAACCTGGAGCCAAATCTAGGGAGATTTTGGCCCCCTTTGTGGGGCCCATCAAAGCTATGATTCCATATCTACGAAGAAGGAATAAGCAAGGAATTAATCATTGCAATGCCAATTTGAATTCAAAATAAAGGAGGGAATTAATTAAGGCAATAAGGCTATTTTGAGGGGAAATTGGTAGAGTTTATTTAGAGCTAGTTATTTTGTATTAGGGTATTAGGGTTATGTTTTGATAAGAGTTTTGATGTATTTTATGAGGGCTTCCTAGTACCTTCTAGATTGTTTGGGAGAGCCGATCTACCTCTCCAATCGTAGATCACCTATATCTTGTTTTTCGTATTGAAGTTGTAATCTAAAATCAGCCATCGTTTGGAATATTTCTGCAGTTTTCTTTTCTTTCTTTTGTTGTTTTCACTTCAAAGGCATATCAATTTGGCACATAATCAGCTTCGTCAAAACATTAGTACACCCCCATGGCGAGTCCACTAAGTACGGTATGTAACATGAACAATGATGCAATAAAGACAAAGGCTTTTGGTTCCCATAGAGGCAAGGAAAATAAGAAATAAATACAAAAAAAATGAATTCAACGTGCATAAATTTAATCTCACCATTGGAAAAGCACATGTATTATATGCTAATGCCCCAAAAATGATCATGAATGAAATTTTTAAAGCAAAACATAAAGATGAACCCATAAGGGTTAAATACATAAAAGAGAAGCATTAAAGAGACATTAATGAACAGAGTTCTGTAAAGGAAATAAAGAAAGAATCAAGTATAATACAAACAAATAACATTCAAATCTATAGAATATGTATGAGTAATATGAATTAATTCATCTACATTGTGATTTCAACTTCAATTCAAATTTTCACTTACAGCAATTTTCATATTACATCTGAAGTAAATCACGAAGGACCTTCACCCATGTACAATAACCATGTTGCAAGCAAATAGGTAAACAAAAATGTAAACCAGTTGTCCAATGGCTTGAGGAAGAGAAATGCAGTGGGGTTAAGAAAATTTTTAGGGAGATCAAGATTATTTATTTTTCATGAACAGCCTTATATATTGACTGCATATTGATAAATATCATATAGAAATGTGTCCTTAAAGTATCTTATTCTATATTAATGTTTTGCCAGAAAAGCTCTATGTTGATCAGATTTCAGCTTTTGAAACCACGTAAATGACTATTCCAAGCTACAAAAGCACAAATCTCACAGAATGAACAATTCAGAGAATAATTCCAAACAAAAGTAGGAAAAAAAAAAGAATTCATCCATTTAAATAAACAAGAAAGCTACAAATTAGACACCCAAATCCATAAGAGCTATACCATAAGCATGCATATACTAGAGCAAGGAAAAGAAGAGAGAAACATAAAATAATGAGTAGATCACATGGAAAAGTGCCATCTCAAAATTGGACTTCATCACTTATCAGAATTTTTTTATACATTTAGTATCAGAGAAAAAGAGGGGATAGAAACAACAAGCAAAAAGTAGATGGCTTTAGTCAAATCATATATACCTAATCCATCTATTCAAAGCCCTAATATAATATAACCCATCTATATGTTATATCTTATCCATATCTATGTATCTATCCAGATGCATAATATTAAGATACAATGTCAGAGAAAATCTTTCATTTTTTTTATTTCAACCAAACGAGGGGAATTTATTTCAAAATAGATCTCCATCAAGTTTTTGGACTCTTTTATTCTATTAGCATGCTTATAGTTAAATCAAGCGGCTCAAAAAGAAAAACCCAACAAGCCCAAGATCGCCTAAATCTAACATCATTAAGGCACTTAAATGATAAACAAATATTTTATGATTAACAAAATTAATATGGGTGGCTTGATACAGTGCTCCGAATTTTATTCATATGTATGGGCTATGTCACTATCAAAAATCTATAAATAACCAACCACTCTTCACATGAGGAGACTAGGACTTGGAGCTAGGCTTGAGATTCAAAAGAGCTCTGAGGCTCTAGGAGCGTCACTTTAGCATCACCATCAGACTACCGCCAGCAAAACCTCGCCATCCAACAACCACTAAACCTCCACTCAGCCACCACCGTCAAACCTATGCCTAGCCTATCACGCCGCGAGATCTAAAGTGAAAGAATTTCTTTTCTTCTCTTCATTACTGTATGTTCAATTCATTCTTTTTTTATCTTTGATTGAATAACCAAATCAATAAACATCCATAGCTAATTAATTATATTTCAGAAAATAAATAAATAACGAAAAATATAATTCACATTACTATAATAGTCAATATTTACATTCTGTCTATAGAGTTCAAAAAAATATATGCAATAACTTTCATAGGCTACATAAGAATATACATAAATCAAATAAACTAAAATAAAACAACACTAACATCATTGTCTAGCCTCAAGCTACAGGCTCCTTACCTTTACTTGAAATCATGTAAAATCATGTAACAAGCATAAAAGCCCAGCCAGTAACTAAAATCCTACACCTGAAATCAATGCAAGACAAAAAAGAAATAGTATTGTGTAAAGCATATAAGGAAATCTATAAATCAATATATATGTCATATATATTGGTCATCTATATCAATCAATCATTATATCTTTATCATACAATCAATTTCATTCAGTCATATCATTCAATCATTATCATCAGTCTATCAAATATACAATAGTGTCAGTATTCGTATTTAGTAATAGTAAATAGTAACAGTAATAAATATTTATATTCAATAATCAATGTTAGTAATCAGTACTAATTAGTATCAGTAATCAATATTATATCAGCTATTCAGATGATGGTATATTACTCCTATTTGAATTATTCCAATCAATCGCCCATTATGACTCCCAATCAATGTACTCATAACTCCCCTTGAATCGTGAGAATCAATCGTCTCGACTCCTTATAACTCTCAATCAGCCTCCAACTCCTTATGACTCTCATCGATGAATCGGTAAATATTGAGGTTATCACGAGGGGCTTATCATATCATATATATCTAATATCAATTAGTATATCATTTTCTATAAGAGTTGTATTAGTACAATACATCATTTCAGTCAGATCAATATCACATTCCAGTACATATCAGCCCTGTCAATCATTGCAGCACAAACAATTCAGTATTATCATATCAGATCAATGTACATCACTTTTAACGCATTTTCAATATACCTTTTCCCTACTCATTTTACCAAAAAATTCTCATACACATATTTAACTGATGAAAATGCAATAAAATCATATCAAATCGTTCAAAATGATCAATCAAGTCTATAACATATCCGAAATTACGGAGTGAAAGCTTACATAATTACGAGATAATGTATTTTTGGATGATTTAGGAAAGATAAAGTCCATACAATTAAAATCATCAAAAACAAGAGTAAGAAGACAATTACAACGAATATAACAATTTTCGTTAAAGGAACAACAAACAAAAATGGCCAGAAATAAACTCTCCCCACTCCTTCCCTATTCTTTCTCTCCCTTCTCTCACTTCTTCTCATCCAAGCAATGAAGTGAGGGAGGCGATGGCAGGAATATTTATAATAAAATATATATATAAATATTGTTAGTGGACAAGCACAGCAACACTCAGACCCAAAGCAGCAATACTTCTTGTCGGATCCATAATTAATATAGACTAGACTCCAACGCCGCAGCAGGATTTTTTGACGTCGATGTGCTCTCAAACCTAGCATTGGCTTTAGTTCAAAAAGAAATTCAAATTTTCTAACATTTTTCGTATTTTGCGTTCATTACGCGGCCACCGCCACAGGACCTTTGCACAATAGCCACAGCCAGACTTTCGTCGTCCGACCACGATCCTCGGACCAGCGTAGCCAGTCGACTATGACCCTAAGACCACAGTCACCCAATTACAATCCTCAAACCACCATCGTCTAATTACAATCCTCAACCCACCATCACCCGACTACTATCATCAAACCACCATCGCCTGATTATGATCCATCTGAACACTGTCGTCCGACTATGATCCCATCAACCACCATCGCCCGACTACAGTCCCTCCAGTCTCAATCACCTGACAACTATCTCTCCGACCACCATTTCCTGACTATGGTCACTACTTTTAAATTTCTAGTAAATTTTAAAGCTCTAATTAGTTCAAGAACCTCCAAGTGACCATATAAGTGTGCTTAGATTTTCCAAGCACCGACCATCACTTAGAATTTGTTGTTGACTGACGTTGTCAATACTTTAACATCAACAACCAACCCACAACACCAACATTTGTTGGCTAGCATCGCCCAACATTCACAACCGACTAACATTCACTAGAATTTAACTCCTAATGCTCATTGTCACCCTTTGCAAGCATTGTCAAATGAAGCATGTTGTTCCTCATCAACATCAACGATATTAAACACCCTCGACCAACACCCAAGATACAGACTTTAGCAATCTAGAATCCAACATTGTACTCTCTCACATCTAATAAAGTTATCACTTGTAATATCAAATCCAAGATAATGGAATAATTTACAATGGGGCTAACAAAGCCCGTAACTTCTCCCATAAAATATATGTCAATTGTGTAAGTGATGTTCTCCAACTTTATTTGCGTGTGATCTTCATACAATCCAACGTTGTTAAAGTATCTATCATGGTGAACACTCAACACACAATAATCTGAAACATGTGTCTCTTATGCTTTGTTTGAAGTGGCTTGTGATTTTTAACTTTTGTTAAAAGTTATCTTTTCTGCCACCGTAGGGAAAAGAATGAGAAAAGTTGTCAATTTTTTCCTCATAAATAGTAAACTAATTTTTGTTGATTATTTTCTCTACACAAAAGCAATCAAAAAGTTGCCCCCAAACAAAGCCTTTACATGGAACTTCTACAAACGATTAAAAAAAATAAGGAAGCCATACTCAACCAAAGCACAAGTAGCAGAACTAAGACAATTATGGCAGAAAATCCAAAAAAACCAAAAACAGAACAATAAACAAAAAACTTTTCATCATGCCAAGTAAATATATTAATACTCAAATAGCAGCAAAGACATATTTGGAAAAACAAGTATTTGAGAAGATAAGGAATTAAGAAGAACATACGTCATAACAACTGTCCTTTTCCCTCGGCCATTTGCACCTCCAACTACATTAACTCTAGGTGCAATCGGAAGGCCCAAGTTGTTGCCTATAATTTCAATCTTCATAGGTTTACCATCAAGCTGAACATTGTTATACCGTTTTACAGCGGCTATTGCATCACTTCTCCTTGCATAGACCACCTCTGCGGATCCCTGAAACAAATAAACTCATGAGCATGCTTGACAAAGTAGAGAAGATGCTGATCCCCGAAAAAAATATCAACATTCTAATCTCATGAGCATGCTTGACAAAGTAGAAAAAGACACGGTGAAAGAAATAAGACCAAAGTAGGGTAAAGATGGAAAGTAGAAGAATAACATGTAAGGAAAGTTTGCTTCATGAACAACAACATTCACCATTAAATAAAAATTCATTTTGTCTCACCATCAACAATTTAGTTGCTACAAAGTTATTGAATTCAAAAAAGACATTTTAAAAACAGAAAAGTAACTTCAAATTTGAACGATCAGAAAACACCAAGCACCACAAAATAGTGGCCCTGATCACGTAATTAATACATTTCCTCGCTATATGATTGTGTGATGCAACCATCATGCTCTATAATATACTAGTGGCAAGCATAGTAGTTAAATTCAGAGAATTGGAGATGGAAAAGACTTAATTTTATTACACAAAACTATCCCTATTTATAGATCTATACAAGATATCTTAACAAAGAAATAAATAATTACAAAATCAAGTATAATTGCTCTAATATAATCCTTCCTAAATCAGCCAACTAAATACGGAAGTAGATCAGCATGATCCAGGTGAGCCTCTCATGAATTCTCATCCTAACCATGGGATCAAAATGCCAAGGGACGGCTGGGATTTAATAGGTGAGCCTCCTGCGAATTCCCATCCTAATTGTGGGATTAAAATGCAAGAGACAGCTAGGATTTAACACTCCCCCTCAAGCTAGAGAATACAGATGTCATTCCCATCTTGATAATCAGTCCCAAAAAGATAGAGCTATCAAGTCCCTTGGTAAGAATATCTGCAAACTGATCTTTTGATGAGACATGATCAAAACATACAAGACCATTGTCTAATTTCTCCTTTATGAAATGCATGTCCACTTCTATGTGCTTAGTCCTATTATGTTGAACCAGATTATGAGCTATGTTGATTGTTGATTTGTGGCCCCATTGTAGCTTCATAGGTCCTTCCCACTTAATCCTTAAGTCTTCTAGAATCATCTTGATCCATAATAGCTCACATATTCCCAAGGTTATAGCTTTGTATACTGCTTTTGCACTAGACCTTGCCACCACATTTTGTTTCTTGCTCCTCCATGCAACAAGATTTCCTACAAGGAATGTGCAGTAGCCTGAGGTAAATCGTCTATCTACTGGTAATCATGCATAATCTGCATCAGTATATACTCTGGGTTTATTCCACGGTCTCTTCGGAAGAGAATCCCTTTACCTGGATTTCCCTTAAGGTAGTGTAGTATTCTGTCAACAGATTGCATGTAAGCCTGCTTTGAATTTTGCATGAACTGATTGATCATGCTTATAACAAATGTTATATCTAGTCTAATGTGAAAAAGGTAGATTAATTTCCCCACAAGTCTCTGGTAAAATTCTTTATCTACATTTGGATCGTCTTTAGCTTCCCCAATTTGAGATTTGGTTCTACTAGTGTTGGTGCTGGTTTACAAGCTAGTTTATCTGTTTCTTTAAGAAGATCATTAATATGTTTTTGTTGTGAAATGAAGATTCCTTTGCTGGAATGGGCAACTTCAATTCCAAGAAAATATTTTAATCTACCAAGATCTTTGATCTCAAATTCCTTGGCAAGACATTTCTTTAAAATCATTTTCTCCTTTTCAACATTCCCAGTCAAGATAATATCATCCACATAAACTAATAGAATTATGACTTTACCTGAGTCAGAGTGCTTGAAGAGTAATGTTAATCCCCTTGGCTCGGCCGATAACCATTAAGTAGCATAACTTTTGAGAATTTTTCAAACCAAGTTTTAGGTGACCGTTTTAGCCCATATAGAGCCTTTTTTAACCTGCACACTTTGTTAGCCCCATATTTCTCTTTGAATCCTTGTGAAATCTCCATAAATATTTCTTCCTCCAAGTCTCTGTGTAGGAATGCATTTTTGACATCTAGCTTTTACAAATGCCAGTTGTAATTAGCTGCTACTTGATAGTGAGAGCAAGATCCTCACGGTGTTCATCTTGGCCGCTCGTGCACAAGTTTCCTGGTAATCAATATTGTACGTCTGATTGTACCCTTTCTCCACCAATCTTGCCTTATACTTTTTCAATGTACCATCAGCGTTGTATTTCATAGAGAACACCCATTTAAAGCTGACTGGTTTTTTCTTATTGGTAGGTCGGTGATCTCCCGTTTATTGTTCTTCTCCAGGGCCTGCATTTGAAATCTCTTGGATCATGGAAAGCATGCTCAATATAAGCATGGTTTAAGGTCAATATATACAACTAACATATCATACAACTTGCTAACTTAGTCACTAACCACAAAACCAACTTGTTCCTCAACCCAAAAAAAGATCTAACAAAACGGGACTATCAAGATAGATTATCTGGCCATAAATCAAAAGTGATTTGAAATCTCAAGTCAAGTAGTAGGTAAAATATTAAGCAATCTTATAATAACATAAAGATAATGAAAAGAATCCAACTAAATGATGTGTATGCAAACGAGCACTAACTTTGATGTAAAATGTAGGAACCAAAGTACAATTTAATTGTAAAAGTATACTACACATACTAATTTGAGCTTGATTGGGGACTTTGATGAGCAATTTTTTATTAAAAAAACTCTATTGAATAAATTCTATTTCATATGTAAAGCAACTAATGTATGTTTAACATTTTAACATATAACTAATTTTTCATGGAATATCTTGTCACCATCTGCATGTCATGTGGTGGGATACTCTTCATACTTCCCACCATCAAGAATATTCAAATAACTACTCCATGGCTGGCAAGGTTAATTCATAATTTTTTATCATTCTTCTTCCGTTTCTTGTGTGCAAGTGCATGTCATTGTTGGATGTGAGAGTCTAAAAGAGTCTAATTAAGCTCGAGTAACCCTAGGATTGAGCTTGAGTCAACTCAATTAATCAAGCTCAAGCCAACACCAAATGCAGACCCACATTGTGGAATTAACAAAATGAAAGCTAATTTGTGGATTATAGCAATTAACTATTAGAAGAACAATAAAACATAGGTGAGGACAGTTGTATTGTTTTCTACTTCTTAAACACTTCAATTATAGTACCCAATAAACATATCTTACATCTATTTTAAAATGAGAAAGACTCCAATCTAATGAGTTAAAGCAATGCGGTAATTTAAGCTTTGTTTCTTTCACTTGATAAGTTCAACTCAACAAGCTGAAGGCAATTACGAGGGATCTCTACTCAAATTTAAGCAAGGCAATCTAAATATAAAGTTATAATATGCAATATAACACATACACGATCATATATGTGTAAATGTATAATATATGTTTTATGCAATCATAAATATATGTATATGTCTTTGTATATATGCATTAAAACACACACTTCGACTAATTAATGATCAATTTGACTTTAAGCAATAATTATCAACCCAATAAGAGAGGGTTATGCATGAAGTAATATTATAATAGTTTATATCCTAATTTGGTTTCTATGAATTAAAATCAATCGTACATTGCCTATTCACACAAGTAGCTTCATTTGACCGCCTGGAGAACAAGCATGGTCACGTAAAAGCATCATCAAGTCAAAATCATTACAATCAACACACAAACTGATGAGGACATCAGCAAGAGATTCTGGCACGTCTATCACCAGAGGAATCGTTGATCGACGGCTACGATTATGAATCTTTATTTATGATGCATTTTATGTATTACTTTTTATTTATGCTTTAGTCTTTACCACTACATCCCTGTGAGGAATTAGTTTGTGTTGTAGCCCATATGGCATTTTAGTTGGTGTTTTTTTGTTTCTTTGAGGCCTATATATGAGGGCCCTAACAATTGTATGAGGAAGATGATTAATGAAAATTTTGCATTCGTGTTATGTTGACTATTGAGAGCTCTAGAGAGGAAAAGTCCCTAGGTGAGGGCAAAAGCAACACCCACCAGCCGCAAGAAGTGTATGGGCTCGTGGTTAACTTTCTTTCTCTAATTGCCCTCATTCTTCACTACCCGTCCGGCACCTCCCCTCCAGAAGCCGCCGGCCAAGCCCCATCCCTTCCTCCACCCCACAAGCCATCAGCCACAATTACCCAACCTTCATCCAAAAGCCCTCCCCTAACCGCCGGTCCTAAGCCCTCCTCCAAGCCCTAGCTGCCAGCCGTAAGCCCTCCTCCCCCAAGCCCTAGCAGCCGGCCACCCTTGCTCTCCTATATATGCTAATTTCCTAATTTAGCACATTATTAATTTGGAATGTCTCCTAATTCGAATTCAAATGAATTTCAAAACATTTCCTAATTGATATAAACATATTTTAGGAAGTTCCCCCTAATTACTAGAAATCTGAAATTAAATTGAATTTGATTCCAATTCCACATTCAATGAATGTGGACACATTAAATGAATGTGGACACCTTTCTATTCCCCCCTTTTGGTTGGCCCCTCTCTCCCTCTCTCTTAATTATTTCCTTCGCAAATTGGAAATCCATTAAGGAGGTAATAGCCACCCCTCTCTCCTCCTCTCTCCTATCATACCTAGGGGTGTCAATATTTGACACGACAAGAAAACCCGACTCGAACTCTACCTGGAAAATTCGGGTTGGACCCGACCCGATTTCAAAACGGGTCGGACTCGGGTTCCCGGATTCAACCCGTTTAAAAAATGGGTCGAGTGGGTCGAGTCCGAGTTCGAGTTTTCGACCCGTTTACATACCCGAGTCGGGTTAGGGTCGATCCGTTCGAACCCAGGTCAGTTTCGGGTTCAACCCGAAACCAAGTTTTAACACCCCTAATCATACCCAATTAAAGGCCCCATCAATGGGCCGCCCCTTCCCCCCTACTTTCCCTCTTTATATTAGAAATTCAAATTTCAAATTATCTCATTCAATTCCAACTTAAATCTGAAATTAAATTTCATATTTTGGAATTTACCTTCCCTCCCTAACCAATCCCTAAAATCTGAAATTAAATTTAGCCCCTCTCCTAGCCTTGGTCGACCACCCAAATCCCTCCCTCCTCCCTTACATCCCTTCTCCCATGTTTGATACGTCATCTAAGGAAGAAGAAACACAACTTTCCTCGGCCTACTTGCTCATGAATGGCCGATCCAAAGCCTGGTCATGGATTTGTGTATGACTCTCCAGAACGAGTAGATGTTCTTCAATCTCCCTTCTTTGGCATCAATTTTGAGATCGACCACTCCATCGAAGACTACATTGATCAGATCTTCTTAACCTTGGCAGAAGCCATCGACAAGCATCAACTTCCTGTTCAGTGAGTTAGCTCATGCATACTCAAATGTTAATAATTAATAACCCAAAAAAAGGATTCTAGAATGTAAAGCTAACTCACTACAACTTTTCTACAATAATGCATTCTAAATCATCCAACATAACACAACTAAGCTTAAATAAAAATTACCCAACAAGTATTGAATATGATTGTGTACACTTACTAAAACAAATACCAAATAAAATAAACATGCTTCATTATAAGAAAAAATATATTCAATAACTTTCAAGTCTATGATTCTATGCAAGATTGCATTTAGAGCATTATCCTAATAACCATGTTAGTAAAATCAATATTAAAATTTGTGATTTCCAGCACAATTTAAGTCAACCCAAATGCTCGGTAAGGTTTCCATCCGTAGAACAGGAATTTCCAATAGCTATACAATTACTAGGCAAAATAGAATCAAAGCAATAATTCTGGCCAAGTCCTGGTGAATAAAAAAAACAATAAATAACTCCCTCTTTTCCTGCAAATCTTGAAAACTTCAACTTGCGGTCTTTGCAAACACTGAATGGCCACCCATATCAAAAAGATCAATATTACAGCATGTTCCATGGTAGTTCAAAATTCACCCAAATCGCCAATATTATACACTGCCTTGTGCGAGAAACTGACCTCCGTCGTAAAATTCAAAAGAAGGGTAAAAGTTAATAACAATTATAGTTCGGTCCAAAAGCCATGTAAACATGTGAAGAACTAGACTCAATAAATCACCAAAAACACACAAAAAAATCAACAAAAACACGTATTAAATTCCAGAAAACTTCAAAAACAGCCATAATTAAACAAAATACTCATCTTGATGTTCCAAACAATGTGGAAATGAGAAGCCAATTTTTACAGCAATCAGTAGGGTGGTTGACCAAGGCAAGAGCATTCATAAATGTGAATAAATTAAGCTGAATCAACGCTAGCATTATTAAATAAATTACACCGTCAAACAACATTACACTATGCATTTCAGTTATAGGTAGTTATAGGTTGAACTAAAACTCACACTTGGGCGGCCATTTCTGTCAAAATGAGTTGCAGAACGCTTTAGATCACCAACCTTGGAAAATAATTCCTGAATCGCAATCAGAACATACCATAGGACATGAGTACAAATTCATTCAAGGATATGAAACTAGCAATATTTAGCATCACATCATTGCATTCCTGATTTACAGACAAACAGACCTTTATATCTTCATTGGACACACCATAATCCAAGTTGGATATGTATAATTTTGTTCCACCTTCGGATCCTGCAAGACCAGCAGCAACAATACTATCCTCAAATAGATCATGTCTCCATAGTAGACCCTTTGTTCTGCTGAATGACTGATAAACAAATAGAAGTCATTTTAAAGAATACAATGCCAGATGCACAGGAATGCGAGTACAGAACACTTAATATCTTACTAAGAAACCAAACAATATCAAAAAAATTAGTATAATCCTGCAAAACTGCAATTAGTACTGATATGTCGGGCCACAATTATGAAAAACATCAATAAACAAATAAATCATACAGATAGAAAATGGAGGAAGAGCATTCCACCAATCAAACATCCTTCAGGCAATGGTTGACAGCTTCGCCTCTGAGAAATGAGCGTGCTCGCCCCTCAGTTACTCCAACCAACAACAGCATTAGAATGAAGGAAATGAGAAATTCCACGTTTAGAAAGAACTCCCCTTTCAGATCCCCCATTTAATATCCAAAACAATTGATATGCATGAAAACTCAACATCTCCTACACCAGCCCGGGCATAAAAGAGCTTAGATATCATCCCTCAATGTTTTGAATTTCTTATATTATGTACCGCCTTGAATATGTGCAAAAAACAGCAATAGTTTTGTGCTTGCCTTAGCAATCTTAAATGGAGAAGATTGGTTAATTCTGAGAGGCCCTTGACGGAGCATCCTAACTCCCCTGCCAACAAACGTGCCACCTAGTCCTTGGCCCCAACCACGGCCCCTGCCTTGAACTTGGCCTCTGCCTCTTTCACTAGAGCTTCTTCTCATAATTAGACCCTCCAGCAACGTATCTAAAGAAGAATAAAAATATATATAATTAATGAAAATAAAAAATAATAATATTCATATTAAGTAATCATACGATGAATGGAATTTCCCCCTCTAAAAATAATGGAAAGGGAATAAAAACAGAACTTTTACGCCAAGCTAAATTAACTTACCGAATAAACATTATAAAACTATCAAGAGCAAAAAAAGAATCTACGTGCAGTTGATCTGCAGCACTAAATATCAGGAAGCTTGAAAATTTTAGATAATCTACCACTCGAAAACTCAATAAACTAGGGATTTAGCCTCGCATAAACTATCAAAAATGAATGCAGACTACAAAAAGTAGATTTCAGGTTAAAATGCATGGTCCTAATCAAAAGTCCAAACTAAGTTATTTAGAGCACAGAACTCTATCGATTTAAAAAAAAAAATACATATAAGCATTATTCAGAAAAGCAAGCACAATACAAAAGTACTAAGTTTCTATGCTTTAATATCACGCCAGTCGGCCTAAACCAAACATTGAAGTTCATGCAACTACAAGCATCCATCAAAAAGATAACAAACAACCGATTAAAATTTCGGTGCAGACCGTCCTTAATTTTTGTTCCTATGAAAAATATAAAACTAAAAGCATCAAGCACAACTGAGGTAAGAATAGGAAGGTAACAATAGCCTCGCCGAGTCGGCGGCTTCCTCACCAAGCCCGGAAAAGACCAATAAGCGGCCGCTGAACGCTAACGGAGGGAAGATAAATCGGACTGCAGAGGACGAAAAGTAGTGAAGCAGTGAGATCCTGATGATGAGAGGAATAAAAATTAACACAAGTAACTCGTCGCCATCTATGAACTCTCTGGGTGTGAAAAGAGGGAGAAAGAGCAGGATTCCTGCTAGGGTTTTGGAGGGGGCTAAAGGAGAATTTTACGAGCCTGGAGGGCCAATCGGGCTGGCTGGTTTCTATCCGATGCGCGGTGACTGCCGTGACTGAATCGAAGCCTCCATGATTCATATAATTAATATTTCCTATATTATATAGGTGATGGCTACTTAAGTTTTTTTTTTTAATTTATAAAAAATCTTCAATATTTTAAAAATATATATTATTAAAATAACTTTATTTTAAGTATTTGTTTGAATATTCAGATATAGATATTTCATCGTTGATAGATATTTGTTTCTATAAATAAAAAAAAATTGACGTGATTAAAAATATATTTATTGAAAATTTCCAAAAATAAAAAGAAAATTCTATTCAAAATTTCATATGAAATCATGGAGAAATTTTATAGATCATGATTCTATTCATACTTTCATGTGTTTATTTTTTTTTAGCCACCATAAAAAATTTATACAAAATTAATGAGACGCCTCAAAAGTCATATAATAATTAATCTTTATTTTGAACATGGTTTTATATTCTTAAAATATGATAGCACCTAATTAATATATGATTTAAAAATTAGGATATGTGTTATAAATTTTTAGACAATCCCCTATTTAAGTCATGTATATTACTGGATAATTATACATTATTAAATTATAACCATAAAAAGGGCTTAATATGCATGTAATAATTCACATTAAATCAATATAAACATAGACAACTAGTATGAATGACACCAATTGATATGAATAGTTGGATATCATTATAAGTAGTAGCCATGTGATGGATCAATAATCTCTATCTTAATCCAATTCTAGTACATCTTGTGAAATGTTATATGAATGCTATCATATAAATCAATACAATCATACATAAGTTCTATCTACTATCAATTTAAGTGTCAATAGGTGGGGTTCGAGCCTGACTTAAAATTGGCGTAACTTAAATTCAGTCGGTCTGAACCTGACCCGCTAGACTTGAGCTGATAACCATTTTTTATTTTTTAAAAAAAATAATGACATTATAATAACAGATTTTATGTTTATTAATAAAAAATAAGATAATCATATCAAAAGATAAGAGAGTTTATAAAAAATTAATTTAAATGGATCATTTCGAGTCAAAATAAGGTTGGCGGTTCAACCCAAACATATCGGAATTAATCCTACATCAACATCTATCTTTATTCTTATTAATTCATGTAAAATATCTTATGTACAAAACTAACCGATGAAATCTTAATATGATCATATTAAAATATTTTGATGTCCGGACCTATTTCTAGGCCAGATGACCGGACCTAATAATTTGCCCTTCATAACAGACGGGTTAACCTTGGTTACCTGTGTACGCATTTCAAGCCCGGGACAACCAGTACCAGCCTCTTACCGACAATTTAGGTTTTATCCTCGGCTCCTCCATGATATCTTCATTTACGCTTCATCCACAGGCCATGTCGAGCTTCGCGGCGTGGAGGATGCTAAACGCCGCCATGGATTTTGCCTCCTCATCGATGAAATCAATGGCACATCGACGGCTTTTGACGTGCTCGGCCTCGTCGTCTCGGCTTGTTCTCCATCCGCCTGACCTCGTCCAATGGGTTCGTAGAGAAGGCGGCTTCGTTCACCCCAAGCTCAGAATTGCAAACCAAGGGTCCGATGGCTTAGGCGTATCCTCCCTCAGCGAAATTCCAGCAGGAGCTGACCTCATCACCCTTCCCAGCCATATCCCGTTGCGATTCCAGCATTCTGACGAGCCTGACGAGCGTGATTCCGTCTTGACTCAACTGAGTGGGAAAATTCCAGGTAATGGGTCTTGCAGATGTAATGCTTCCTTTTGTCATTTTGCTGGCAATGCATGCATTTTCTTTATGTCAACTGTTAACGGATTTTATGATCTTGCTCGCCTAACTAATGCTCTTATAGTCTCATCAACGATGCGCTATTTTTAAGCTCTAATCACTTGATGATCATAGATTTGATACTACTGCTGGTTCTGCTCTTACTACTTGTCAATTATTTTGATTTCAAGGTATTAGCTACATTGCTAATGAATAGGTGTGAAGCGATTCCTTGTGTTAGCAATAATGGAACTGATGTGGTTCCAGAAAATTCTATATGATGGACACAAAATTAGACCCAAAATTCAATCTTAAATCGCTAAAAAATGAGCTGAAATGGTTGGCCTTATAGTTATGATGATAGGGATTTCATACGTTAAAAGGTCTTAACCACAATCCTCATTCTAAAACAGACATCACACAAAAGTGATCTCTAAACATTTTATTATAATAAGACAAGTAATTGTGGTAAATAAATTTACAACTTGTCTATAAGATCACCATTAAAAACATGCATACAGGTCTCTAATTTGTTAACCTTTGGCATCTGCTTCTCTAAGGCAAAGTTTAGAAATTTAAGATGTGAATATTCTACCAAGATAAATATTCTTACTAAGGCTTTGATGCCACTTCTCACAACCCATTGGGCTTCAACAACATGTTGAAAAGGTGGGGTGGCCAAGTTAGTAAATTTATATTTAATTCAAGAAAAATGAACATGTTCACATGAAAAGTGCCCAAAAAATTACCCGAGTGATAGGAAACACCTGTAGATCTCAAGCATTTCTTGTCAATCTTCGGAAAACAACGAGAATTCTCCACAAAAATCTGCAAAAAAACCACGAAAACAATATATAAATTGTATTATTTAATAAAAGGGAACGAAAAATAGCAAGATACAATTGATCCTCTATTCGAGAGGAGGATCGATCTCTCCCAAATCTCTAGACACCGTTAGAGCCCAAAAGAAAACCTAAATCTAAAATATCTCAAATTTCAGCCCAATTCAAGATGCCCTAACCCTAGGAAAGCCACCTCAAATTGCACAGGCCGGTCCCGTAGGACCGGCTGGACCGGTCTAACACCAAGCTTTTAAAGTTCAAAGGAATTCAAGTTATTTATCCAAAAATATTGATTAAAACCTAAATTTTATGATAGTTTATTTAAGAAGAGAGGTAAACTATGATAAAATAAAATAAAGAGCTTTTTAATCACCTTCCCATGTGCAAGAAACATTATTCATTAGTCAAGGTTGCCTAATTAGTAACCTACAAACCACAAAATCAACATGTAAGAGTTTGCAAGTGTAAGATTTGCATGTGAACCTATTCACTAGGGCATAAATGGCAAGACATTGAGTATTCAATTTGGTAAATAAACTAGCATGATTAACAAGGCACATTATCATGACTATTTTAACCTTCTCATCAAATAAATCAATCTCATATAATTGAGTCCATAAAAATTCTTGTGAAGAATGCCATTCAATGCATTTAAATGCTTGAATATCTATGAGCATCATGCAAAACAATCAAGCTTAAAAATGATTGCTAAACATTTTATTAAGAATATGTTGGATATGATGGAAAGCAAAATGAAGTATTTTGCATTTCATATCTTGTATCGAGCATTATCAAAGTTTCATCCCTTATTATGGCTATAACTTTCTGCATTCGAATTAGGATGTTCTGAGTTTTTAGTAAGGAGTAAATACCCTGTGGGGAGCCTGTGACAGAGGAACTCTGGATAATGCGATTGGGGCTGAGGTTGCTACAGGAAAGAGCTACAGTTAATTCGTTTTGGTGGCCGTACATTAGCAATCTCCCAGAAACTTACAGCGTGCCTATATTTTTTTCGGGGGAGGATATGAAGAACCTTCAGTATATCCCTCTTGTGTATCAGGTTTGTAAGCATACTCTTTTAGTTCGATTAGCATTGTTAAAATCAGAAATCTGAATTCTTGTTTACCAGATGACTTCTGTTTCAGGTCAATAAAAGATGTTCTTTTCTGCTTAAGTTTGAGAAAGAAGTCAAGACTATACTGGAAACTGTGGAAACGAAACATCATCCTTTTGGTGGCCAGGATGTTAATGCATCTTCCTTGGGTTGGGCTATGTCAGCAGTTTCTTCCCGTGCATTTTGTCTGCATGGAGAGGTTCTCTCAAATGGCCAAAAGAGGGATATTCACATGCTGCTTCCATTCATAGATATGTGTAACCATAGCTTTCAACCAAATGCTAAAATTGTTCAAGAACAGGAGAAAGGAAGCTCAAAGATGTCAGTAAAGGTAGCTTGCATGACCAATGATTGTTTTATCAATTTTCTGTTTCAACTAATTCAAGAATTCTATTTAATATAGTATAAAATTTCTAATACCATCTTTAAATTGGCGTTTTTGTTTGTTAATGCATTTTTGCTTTACATTTGTTCCCTGAATTTGCCTATCTTACGATGAATTATTCTGTGCGGACGCCGAATGTCATTCAAAGTCCAATGAAAATGCGTCATATCACCCCCTATTCAGTACCGCGGCTCGGTACCAGGGGCGGAACCAGCCTTTCATCTTAGAGGGGGGCAAAATTTTCTTGCCATGATTAATTACTGAAATCAAATTACTGAAGTCAAAATGATTAATTACCCGTACACAAGTAATTAAGTAAATTGTATACATCTAAACTGAAAAAAAAAAAGGATTTAGAAGAAGTATATTCTTTGGCTTAAAGGCCCTAATTAATCAGGGAAATCTTGAAGATGATTGCAATAAGAAAGAAAAACATATAGATAAATAAAAATACAAAAATATGTCAACTATTTACCAAGAAAATTTGAAGTAAATTGTTAGATGCAAGAAAAGCTAATCAAATCCTCAAGGGAAGAAGAAGAAGTATATTCTTTGTCATTAAGAGGGAGAAAAGAAAAATAACAGCAGCCATTATCTATTCCTAAGCAAAGAAGATCAAAAATCGCTTCTCAACTTACCTAGATTTCCCGATGCCAGATGCAGTCGTGAATCACCCTTCCCTCTCGCACAGGCCTGCTCTCGCGGTCTCGACATCTTGCGTGAATAAGTTGAGAAGCCTTCCCAGTTCCCTCTCGAGTCTCGCCGAGTCGCCGTCTTGCGCGAAATGCGAATTTAGTTCGTTGTTTTAGGTGTTACTTCGGCTGGTTAGGGCAATAGGGGGGGGGGGGACCGCCAAAATAAACTTTTTAGAGGGGTTAAGTTACCAAATTGTCCATCTTAATACCTAACAGTTCCGCCCCTGCTCGGTACTGTGCGGTACCGAGCTCGGTACTGTGCGGTACCGAGCTCGGTACTGCTCGGTACGGGATTACATGGCTGCACCTGATTCGTCTCTGGACAGTAAGCTATATCCGATGTCCGCACAGAATAATTTCTCCTATCTTACAACATGTTATACACAAATTCAGTTAAGTCAATATTTCATGTTCTTTAAGCTGTATGTTGAAGTCCCAATCCCACCTCAGAACTACAACACTTGCTCTCCACTCCTGACACCCTTCCTCTTCCAGTCTCTACTCTCTGTTTGTGTATCTGTATCTTTAACTTTTAAATCAGTTCTTTTAGTTTCTCCACATACAGATGATTGTGAGTGTTATATTTATGCATGATGATATTACTCTCTCTCCTTCAGGATTGTAATATGCTTGTAGTCATTATGAAGTATGAGAGAATTCACGATAATATTTAATCTTTCAGAATTCTCAATTGGTTTAAATTAAGTTTATGTATCATTAATGATTTTTTTTTCCAGGAAGCTAAAAATATAGTAAAAATCAAATTCAAATGAGAATTTTGATTTACTGTATATTTACTGAAAATCTATTTATCAGCTCATTGCAACAATTCTCAAACCAACTGACATAACTTGTATCCTTACTAATGTTTGGCAGCATCAAGTTCACTTGCTGTAATTGAATTGGTGCGTCTCTCATATATATTTTATTACTAACAGGTTGTGGCAGAAACGCAGATAGCTCAAAATTCCCCAATTTTGTTAAATTATGGTTGTCTGAGTAATGATCTTTTCCTTCTTGACTATGGCTTTGTCATTCCATCAAACCCATTTGACCATGTTGAGCTAAAGTATGATGGAATTCTTCTTGATGCTGCTGGTATAGCTGCTGGACTTTCTTCTCCAAGCTTCTCTTCACCAACCCAATGGCAAAAGGAAATCTTATGCCAGTTGAACTTACTTGGTGATGGAGCCATTACTAAGGTTTCTCTTTACATCTTTAAGTTCTCTTATCTTTGGGTTAAGTTAAACTTTATTAAACAAGCCAGTATAACTTGGTGATTTCATCGTTCTTCCTTATTGCCCAATGTTCACTTCTTTCACAGGAACTTGCAACTGAATACGAAGAATGATTATAAATAATTACATATTAAACCAACTGAATACGAAGAATGTTTCTTGTGGGTTTTACAAAATTCAATCAATGTTTGGAACCTAGAAATAAACTACATTAATCTTATTCGATATTGCCCATCTCTTATACTTTCTTTTGTATTATCAAGAAGTGATCCTACCGTTTACTCTGTTCAGGTGAACTTAGGAGGTTCAGGGGTGATAGATGGCCGCTTACTCGCAGCACTAAGAGTGCTTCTCGCTAGCAACAAAGAAATCGTTCAAAATCTCGATCTCGACACTCTAATGACCTTATCCCAAAAAGCCCCATTAGGCATCTCAATCGAAATTGCTGCTCTCCGCATTATCATAGCTCTCTGTGTTGTTGCACTGGAACACTTCCCCACAAAGATAATGCAGGACGAATCCATTTTAAAAGGGAACATTTCCACTTCAATGCAATTAGCTGTACAGTTTAGGATGCAGAAGAAGCTAATGATCGTAGACGTTATGCGGAAGCTTTCTCACAGAATTAAGATCCTTTCAAAGGAAAAATCCGCTGCCTGAAGTTAGTTTGTTCCATTTGTGTAATGAGCACTCTCTCCTTTATAAGGACAGTTCTTGGTTAAGGCTTCGTTTGCGACGGCTTATTTTGTACTAAAAAGTTGCTTTAAGAAGTAGAAAGAAAACCGTCCCAAACGAAGTCTAAATCATTTTACATAACTCTTTCTATTTGAAGTACTGTTAATCTTGCTTTGGAAGTATGCACTTCTCTGTTTCCTGGGAACTTTTACCTTATCATATTTACATGGCTAATCTATATGATTCGAAAACTAATTGTATGCTCACTTGCAGCTTGAGATCAGATGTAAAAACTCAAATACATGCTCATAGTTGCATCAAAAGACATCAAACATAATCAATACCAATGGAGTAGTAGGAGAGAGTTTAGAGGAAGAACACTTCGACAGCCTACTGTTTATGTACAATAACAGACCAAAAAAATAAAGCAAGCACTTGGAGTTCTCTCTTCCATGGAAGGTCCAGGCCTGTTTCAGTTCCCTACAGATATAGCTTGGGTTGCGTCCCTCGACTGACCTAATGGCGACTGTGTAACCTGCTTCTTGAGCTCTCTGAGGATGGGCCTCATCTCAAGCATCTGAGAGAGAAGCCAATGCCTTATATTCTCATCTTCCTCCTTGATCTTCCTCACCTGGATATGAACCAGAGTAAGTGTTCCCTTGCCTTGAACTTCATATTCTGCTTCCATTGAGGCCCCAAAATCAGATTTTTTTATTTTATTTTTTCCTCTTACGGTCTTTTGGGCACTAAACGGTGCATTTATAGCAGGGAGAAGGGTTAGAGAGAAGAGATGGTTCTTTAGAATGCATAAAGGTGTTGAGGCAGTAGGTGGGTAGGTTAGTGAATATATAGTAGTTGATCAGTTGCAGGGGCGTATCTGAGCCGTTGGGAGATTGATTGGAGATGTTAAACTACCTTTTAAATTTTAATAATTGGGAAACGGACATCCTGCCTTATGAGTAGGATGCGTGCAGAGTTGAAGTTGTAAACTTGCCGTAGTTGTTACAACGACTGCTAACAGATTTTTGAACTTCTGCTATTAAAAGGGAAATTATATGGGACGTGGAGGTTGCTTTGTCATGCGGCTACAGTGCGTACAGATAGAAAAATTAAGGCTAGACACCAGTAATATTATAAAATTAATGGCAATCGAACTCAAGCTTGGCTCGCAAGCCAAATCTGAAACTCGGACTCGAGTCGAGCTCAAAAGGTGAGCTCGTGCTCGGCCTCGTCGAGCTGCTCGATTTCACGGTTCGAGCTCAGATTTTGCTTTTGCGGCCCGTCCTTGCCGTACGTGTCCAAGCCAGTCCTGTGATTTTGATCTCCACTTATAGCTTCAACTTTCCGTGTTTAAGTCCGCCCTTGTGATTCCCCTTTCACTTCAGCCTTCCACTTCTGAGTCTGTTCCCATTTTTCAGCCTTATGCAGTTCCGATTCCGCACTCGAGCTACTCGACGAGTAATTGAGCCGAGCATTCTGAGAATCAAACTCAAGCTTAACAATCCAACAAGCTCGAAATTCTGCTCGAGCTTAAAATTCGATAAGCTTGACTCACGAGCTCTTTAATGAGATGAGTTTGAGCTAGCTTGTGAGTCAGCTTGACTCATTTGCACCAAGAATTGTATTGAGATAAGAATATAATTAAGTCTTTGTTTGGGTCAATTATCTTGTTGATTGATTATTATTATTTTTTGTTGCTTTTAAATATTTTTAACTAAATTTTTTTATAATAATTTATTATTTTGAGAGTAATTTTATAAAGCAATAAGAAGTTTAAATATCTTTATTTTTCATGTAGCAATGCACACGCCTATATTTTAATGTATTTCGACAACTTATATTCAGGTTGTGTGAAGCCGTTATTGGTTATCAGATTGCATGAGAGCGTAATAGTTTTAGTGAGCAATGCGTAGGCTAATGAGTAATGACATTGGAAAGCAGGTGCCGCACAACCCATAGCCGCATGACGCGTATAATATTGCAATGTCTAATGACTATTACAAAATTATTATGTCATATCTTTGTTTATATTAAAAATCTGCATGTGGCTATGGCCGCTTCATTGTTTAAGTGGTTAGGGATTTTGATAGCGAATAAATGTAATAATTACATTAGTGGGTATTAAGTAATTATATTTATATAAGTTATTGGGCAGGAGGAGTCTTTAGGATTAGGGCCTATATGTTACATAATAAAAAAGTTACAAGTCCTTAGAGGATTAGAAACTCTTTGAAAGCACAGCGTTTGAAATAAAACATAATGAGCTTTTGACCCTATCTATTACAATTTACAAAGCAAGAGGAAAAAAAATCCAAAAATCAAGGAAAAATAGAACTTATATAGAGTATTAGGGTATCACATAAAATGTGAAATTCTCTCTTTCCTACTAATAGGAGTCATCAGTTATGGGCATCCATCAATTTCTCTATTAGGAACCTTAGGCAAGCTACAATTTCATATTCATCTAATTTTTTGGGGTTGGTTTGTATAAATTTATTTTCTTATTGCTAGAGAGTTTATCTTATCAAATATTGATATTAAAATAAGTAATTGAATTCAAAAAAATTATAATGAAATTTGAGATTATATGAATTTCAATTTATAAACATATAGTTAAAACATGCATTTCCATGATATGTATTTAATGAGTCAAAGATTTTCTAGATTTGATGTTAACAAAATACTAACATGCTTCAAAAATATAAAATACCAAATGGGCCATTCAATTTAGAGTTTGAGAATTTGAAAAAAAATAATAATTAAAATGCTATAACAAAAAAAATCTATAAATGGATCATACTATACTTGAAGGGAAACTTAAGTGGAGAGAATTCATGGATTTAAATCCTAACGCTCTTCCATCACAATCAGCATTAATAATTATCGTTAGTTCCTCATCATCGATCAATATAGATATTCATCATCGCCTGATCATTGTTCCCCTCTATCAAATAGTATCATCATCCACGGTAACATAATCATCATCTTCTTTTGTCAAAGGATGACAACATCTATAATCACATGATTGATCATCATATCTTATTGTTCCTACAACATTTTTAACTACTCACACAAGTGAACAACCAAAATTCAGACATTATAAACCCGTCTTCTCCGGTTAAAAGAACATCCAAAATATTGTAATATTCCCTTTGTATGTTGATTGATTTAATTAACTTGAATTTTCTCTTTATGGGATTTTCACAAAAATACTTAGCATCTCTTGCCAGCTCTTTCTATCTATATGTGAAATCGCACAATATGTAGACATAATCATACTCTATCGCAGTAATTTTTCTATAATTTGACACCATTTATGAAAAAGAAAAGTCTCATCATCATGGATTCTACAAAAATATGTCTTTAGGAGGTTTGGGAACATATTTCCAATAGCCGCATCGGTACCTCCCATAGCATTAAAAGAACAGTTTTTGAGGAAACTCAACAAATGGAAAAATTGTACAAATTATTTGGATTTGATTTAGGAGGGAATTCTGCTCTTCTGCTCTCCGCCTCTCGTTTTGATGTGGTTGCCCTGTCCCGCTGGTTGCCTCGGGTTGCTTTTGTATTTTCGTTACATACTGGGCATGTTGCAGTTTTGTTGCTTTGTCGCCAGCTGGTTTTCTCGCCTAGCCTTGGACAATGACGAGGCTCCTATTGCTGGCTCCCCTTGGATGGTCTTCGGGCAACCGGGGTTCGAGTTCTTCTATGATTTGATTGTTTTATCTCTGAGTCCAACCTCTATTTTGCTTTTGGAGCTATTTTTTATTTAGCCTGATTACCTTATTAACTGATTTTTTGTGTAGTTGAGCTGGTTTTTGAGCTCTTGTGTTGAGCTGTTTTTGTGCTATGTTGATCTTACACCTTTTTCTGATTGGGGTTCTTTTTTTGTTTACATTTACTGTAACTTTCCTCTTTCTTTAATATACGAGCTAAGTCCAAATTTTCAAAAAAAAAAAAAAAAAAAAAAAAAAAAAAAAAAAAAAAAAAAAAGTCTAATGGATAACAAGCATTCTGCTTGGGACAATCGAGCTTTAAAAAACAATCTTACTTATATGGCAGTCCTCCACAATGCCCACTTTCTTTATTGACATACATAACTTGGTTAGTGAAGGCTCATAAGCTAGTCCTTAGAGAATGTTCATTTAAGTAAGATTGTCTAGTTTAAGAGAGATTATTAATTATTTACCATTTGAACATTCATAAGGCAATTGTCTTAAGAGCAGCTCCACTTGCTTGAATGCCCTATAATTTATATTTAGGCTTCGTTTGTGATCATGTTTTTAATGCTTTTTTAAAATATTTTGTTTGAATTAGAAATTTTTATACTAAAAAATTACTTTAGAAAATAGTAAAAAAATTATTCCAAACGAAGCTTAAACATGAACAAAATATATGTTGAGCTCCCATCTTGAACTGCTAAGTATATTCCCTAACACATTGACAAAAAATGATGGAAGCCAAAAGTAATATATTAAGTCATCATTGCACGGTAAATATCCCTACAATATCTGATGTATTAGATTCACATCACCTAGTGTTTTTTTTGTGTGTGTGTGTGTGTGAAAAATTGAAGGTAGAGCACAATTTCATTAACTATAGATAGAAAGGCTAAAGAAAAACATATTTATAACTTAGTATAAAAGGAATAATTATTAGGTTCGGACACCGAACGTAGCTCTATATCCGGATGTCAATAACATGTCGCCACGTGCTCTTACTTTTTTACCGCGCGGCCCGGCGACCTGACCCGAACCAGAACTCGGTATTACTATGTTCGCGTATTGCTAAGTATTGCTCGGTATTGCTTGAAAATAACGAGATATACCACTCTATCAAGACCAATAACTATCAATACCGAGCAATACCTAGCAAAACCGGGGTATTGCTCGGTATTGCTAGGTATTGGTCTTCACAAAATGGTATTTCTCGTTATTATCGAGAAATATCGAGCAATACCTAGCAATACCCTCGTCTGCATAAATCAACCAATACATAGCAATCTCGGGTCCGGTCCGGGTCGGGTCGTCGGGCTGCACGATAAAGAGTAAGGGCACGTGGCACCATTTTACTGGCGTCCGAACGTAGAGCTACGTCAGGACACCGGACCAAATAAAAATTCATATAAAAGAAGAACATGAGCTACAACAAAATTTAGCTTTGCTTAAGAATAAAAAACAGATACAATGAGTGGAATAAAAAATGTGGGCACATAACAAAATTCAAAATACCAAATTGAATCATGATTCCAATAA